ATGAGTTGTGTGTCCACATGTGGTCCCCAGCAGGTATGGCAAGATGGTGGGGATGCAACTGAGGGAGGCTTCCAACAAAGAGGCCCCAGGTGATCCATCTTGGAATGCTCATCCCTTGACAACTGGTGATCTTTATTGATCCCTTGTTTCTAAGCTCTCACAGCCTGACCCTCTATAGAGCCAATGGGACACAAGAAGAAGACCCTCAAAAAGACCCTTGCTAAGGGAAACCCTTGGATACCCCAGTGGCCAACCCTCTTTGCCTTAAAACCTGGGAAACAACGCATAAGAGTTCACTCCCGACACCCTTGCCATTGGGAGGATCTGTTGGGTGTGCAGGGCAAACAGATTGGAAGGTTGGTCCAAACTGAAATTGAAACTTTCTGTTTTGCTGTCCAGGATTCCTCAAATGGAACGACACGCTCTGTGAAGCCTGGCATCCTTTCATCTGCCAGTGCAAATACTAGTGCCAATCGCTCCTTTTCTTGCTCCAGAGTGAGCGAAGCACCTGAAGAACTCTGGAGAAGCAACAAAGCTCTGCTAAAAATCTCCGCTCTGCACCCCTTTGCTTCATGGATGTTTGCTGTAGCTTGGATCTGATTTTGCTCCTCCTGATGTGCCGGGAGGTCCAATAAATTCTGCCTTAGCATAACTGGCCTTGTTTATTTTGGAAAGTTAGGAGACGGTGGAGGTCCCAAACCCAAGACCCCCGGAGTCTTCTGCATGATGAACCTTGGCATGAAAGGGGTTTCTCTGGAAGGCCAATGCCATTGAGGCTACGATGTTTTCTGGCATGTCCACCTCGTTTTAATTGGAGGTCTGCGTACCTGATGGGCCTCAGCACCACTTTCCTGCTGTGTTTCAGGAGGCGGGGGGGGGGGGGAATCTCAGCGTTTCCCACTCTGTGAGCAAATCTAGACTGCAGACAATGGAATCACAAAACAACAACGCCTGGTAGCCAAACCAAAAGTGGCCAGTAACACTAACATTGCACAATAAGCTTCCTGGCAGAAATATTCCTGTAGATTTGGGTTGAGGAAAACATCTGTTGTGCCTGAAAATACTCCAGCTTGCAAGATAGAACATTCAGCCACAAATTGCCCAGCCCAGAAACATAGGGAATAAAAAGTCAAAGTAAAACTGGCTTCATCTCACTTGCCTTGTGGAAAGCAGTTGAGTTTCCTGCAAGATCTCCAAATTTTCTGCTCTGTACGAACTTCTACTGCGAAAGAAGCATCTTAGAACTCATTCTGCTGTTGCTAAAAAGCTGCTTCTACAGGAAACAACTCCTTGTTAGCAACGTCATAATTTCTTTCTGGGAATGTTAATGCTTTCGAGCAAAGCACAGGGGAGTAACTGCGTCCTTCTTGTTGTAAGACTCATTGACTTTCACCCTATTTCTCTTCCTGAGATCAATCAGTATCAACCATCTGGACCCCTCCAGGTCATTTTCTTCAGGATTTCCTGTTTGTCACCTATCCTAACATCCAAATTTAACCCTGGTGAGCTCTTCCAGATTAACTGAGATTGAAGATAGATAGATAGATAGATAGATAGATAGATAGATAGATAGATAGATAGATAGACAGACAGACAGATAGATAGATAGATAGATAATATGGGTAAGATAGATGATAGATATAGATAGAAAGAGATAGATAGATAGATAGATATAGATAGATAGATAGATAGATAGATAGATAGATAGATAGATATAGATAGATAGATAGATATAGAGATAGAGATAGAAAAAATATATCTATCTCTATATTGAGTGAGAGAGTGAGAGAGATATATTATATAGATATAGATTGATAGATTGATAGATAGATAGATAGATAGATAGATGATAGATAGAGATAGATAGAAAGAGATAGATACATAGAGATAGATAGATAGATGAGATAGGTAAGATAGCTAGATGATAGAGATAGATAGAAAGAGATAGATAGATATAGATAGATATGATATATATGTATAGAGAGATAGATATAGAGATAGATAAAATATATCTATCTTTATATTGAGAGCAAGAAAGCGAGAGAGAGATATTATATAGATAGGTAATTAGATAGATAGATAGATAGATAGATAGATA